GCCCCCCCCCCCCCCCCCCCCCCCCGGCCATGTCAGCGATTTCCATACCCCATTCCAGTATCGTTCTAGAGGTGTCGGGACCGACCCCGTCAGGCAAGATGGCGTGGAAACAAATGACCCCTCGCCCCCGATCTCTCCCTTCTCAGGGGTTGGTGTGGGCAGGTCTACGTCTGCCAACCAAAAGTCCAGAAGGAATCCATCATCACAACCCTTGAGCTTGAGCAGCCGCAAACACTCAACAACAAGCTCCCCGGAAAAAACAAAAAGGAGACGTTGACAACGGCTACGGCAAGTGCTAAATGTTCACCCCCCGCCCCGCCCCGAAGGCTACGGCTCATGGGCTACAGGAATACGGGAGTACTCTTGGTCCGGGATGGCGTCAAAGTGCTCAAAAGAGATTGCACGGATGGACGGCGAAGAGACGGGCTCAATGTCGCCCCGTCGTCGTAGACCGGCGACTATTAATAGGTCATATTTCAGAAATATTTCAATCAAGCAACCAACGGAAGAGCAAGAAAGATCAAGGTTTCACGTCAAGGCGAAAATGTAGGGATGACCTGAGAAAAAAAAACAACGCAAAATAAGGTTTTGAAGTCGAAGAGGCGCATTTACACCAGCACGAGACGCCAACACGCACACAGAGAGAGAAAATTCCGTCAGATTCGAGTCGAAAAAAGCGAACATGGTCATCGTCATTCCCAAGCGGACCGGTCCCAAGGCAACAACAGAACATGTTGACGAAACGGTGCACAATTACGGAGCGCACCTCGGGCTGGTTTCCCGCGGCCGCTTCCACGATGTCCCGCACCCCGTCAATGCCGGATCCGAACCTGCTTACACCCGATCGCCCGGAACCGCAGTAGACAACCACATCATCAAAATACGGAATGTACTTTCACCACGTTGCCGGTACGCGGCTTGATCCGATGACAAGAAGGATTTGTCCGACCGAAAGAGGCGGCAAACACAACAAACAATAATCGCGGAGGGTGTCGACAAATGCACCCCACTGCTGTTATAGTCATGTTTGCGACGATCGGTGTCTCCGCGCAAGCCAAGTTCTACGCCCGCCCGCCCTCTCCCACCCGCCCTCCGGTGCCCCACGTTGTCACGAGGCCGAGACTAGAAAATAGTGATTAAAATCCGAAACGATGAGCACTCGAGCACATAGCAGTGAACACGGAACGGGCCGAGACCATTTTGCGGCATTCTCGGCAATCGTAACGCCGAAACTTAGGGTGCTCGAGCGGCGACGGGAACCGCATCCGCACGCACGAGTCAACCGCCCCTGCAACTCGAGAGCTAGGACTCATTCTTCATGAAAAGCGCGTTGTCTATAACCTCTTGGAAAAATATATTCCATCGGGATCCCATGCGGCGGCGCCTGTACTGGATGGCACACCACACTCAGCAGCAGTTGCAGAAACTAATGAGAAAATCGGTGGCATCGGTTGACGTAATTCGACCTAGATGGGAAAAATAAGTTCCACATCTGTAGCACCTTCACAATCTTTGCTCTAACCCGGGAGGCAAAAAGAAAGATCTCCCGGCGGTCACAGGTTGACCCAACTACGCCTCAAGCAAAAAAGAAAAAAAGATAGCGGTGGGAATTAATGCCTCTAGAATCAAGTTCGGCATGCTGAAATTGAACATTGCCCGACGGTTGACAGAAGAAACGAAGATGGTAAGAAACATCGCTTACCGTCTGCCGATTGATCCGATCCACCCTCCTCGAAAACGTCGTCGGTCCTGAAAAGAAAAAGAAAAAGAGAAAGAATAGAGAGACAAAAAAACAAAAGGGAACCCAAACAAAAGAGCGTCGTCGAGAAAACCACACCCACGGACATCGAAACAGTAGAGGAGAGAAAGTCATCACCAAACTACACACGTAGATTGGGCAAGCAAGAGCAGGGGGGGCACGGTCGACACAGATGAGAGGCAGAGCGGAATGACTAGGACGCCGTTCACTGGACGTGCTTACCGGGGGGGCTTGAACGGACCGCGTCTCCGCCAAAAGTGCCTCGCGCAGCCCTTCGTTTGTCTCGGCCTATCGCACGCAAAAAAAAACATTGTGAGTGTTGCGTGGTAGGTAGAGTGGCATTGGATAAAACGAGGGGATGCACGCGAAGCAGCACCTTGTTCAAACGAAGCAACCGTTATGAAACAACGCAAAACGCGAAAGAACAACCAACCAACGGAAAGTAACACCCTGCTGTCGTAGAGTGACAGGGATAACTCAACGGGATGCATCCGAAGAAGCACCTTATTCCGACCACACAGTCTTTTTCTCACACCGCGACGCTGAGGTGGGACTCGTGAATCAATCCTCAACCAGGCGTCGCGACGAGAAGAGTCAACCTGGGTGCGCGCAGACAGCGCGGTTTCTGGCCGCCCGACGTGATCGGCCATCCGGTTCCGACTGGGTATCGACATCAACTCTCGCACGCAGGAGAACGTTCGGGCCCCGCACCTGCAAAAAACGAAAAAATGATGCGAGGACATCAATGCGCGCGTGATGCGGATCCGGAGAGTACAAAAATCCTCCAAAACGGGGCAGTAATGAGCAACGTGCGTGCGGCGACAGGTGTAGGGACGGGGGTGTGGGTACACCGCAGCACCGAGAGAAGTGTTGTGACTCTTAAAAAAATCAGTCGTGATGTACCTATAAGGTGCCCGAGAGCCTTGACCCAAGCTGTGGCTCAGGAAACAGGGTTCGCGCCATACAACAAAAAAAACAAAGCAACAGCACCAAGCAGCGCCAGCAGCAGCGCCAGCAGCAGCGCCAGCAGCAGCAGCGCGGTGGTGGTGGTCTGCGTACACCCTTGTCGCGCAGGTATTCACAGCGGTTCCGCCCGCCGTTTCCGCTCAAAGCCTTCGAAAGGTGCAGGAGGGTCTTACCCCCGCCCGGGATGGTTCCCAGCTACTCGACGGAGCACATGAGTGTAAACAAAAGGTATGTGTGGGTGTATTGCGATACTCTCAGGTATGTATGGTTATATCGCAATATTCTCATGAGGGAGGGAGAACAGCGCCTCAGAATCGCCACTTACCGTCAAACTGGTTCGATATGATCATGATACTTTATTTCTTCGCCCCTAAACGACACCCGAGCGTTTCATCCAACCTTCCTGGCCTTTCGCTACTCAATGCGGTGGGCTACAGCTTTCGGCGGCATCGAGAACCCGTCAGTGGTGACTTGTCGTCAAAAGCGTGGAATCCGTATGATCGCTGTCCACTCGACTTTTGTAGTCTTCCTCTCGATTATTCTGTGCTTGCAAGCTCTCAGCCCAAAATAGGAAAACTAACACAAAACACGTGAGATTTAACAAACGAACCGCTCTACTATATACGAATATCTTTCCGTTCTCAAAGGCCTTGGGGTGCGGAAGAGCACGCACAGACCACACTGAAGTCAGACTTTCATACGTGTGCGGCTCAAATTGGCTAAGTTGGTTGCACAAGAACCACCCGAGTCCATAGACTGCTGTGGTCTTATCGTGGTATATACCCTAAACTGAAGCAGCCCCGGGGTGAGCACAGGCGTGACACACCACGGATCGCGGTGACTCTATCGTCTAGGCACGGTCGTGACTCCGACATAAGAGGGTACCTTATAAGAGGCAGTTCCCGATATAGAAGGTCTGTGTAGGGCCTTTTGCCGCACCACCCTCTAATCGGAGCCATGATTGTTCCAATCCCGACCATCCGAAGGGGAAACTCAATTTGGACTTGCTTATCTACTACATTATGGTCACGCTTCATCGCAGGTAGGCTTTGTTTTCTGCTGCTTTTAAGGGGTTCTCGCGTCCTCGCCAACACCACCTGCCGTCGGGGCCCCGCTGTAAAAGGCAGGTATGTGCCATGTGCCAGGCGCTTCACCCGCATACATTATGTATATATGTGGTAGTGGGAACCCGCAATAAAGCGGGCACCCGCAAAAAAACGGGCACCCGCAGTAAAGCAGACACCCGCACTTTTCATTTGATTTTCCGTCTGTGTCAGTCAGTTTTCACCGGCACTCTACCCGGCGCCCGCCCAATATGAACCCGCGACGGCACCGGAATGGACTCCAAGGCGGGAATGCAGCAGTACTAATGTATTTCTTTGTAGAGTAGTCTAGAATTAACATCCTGCAGGGGTCGCGTGCCCAGATCTGTCGCCGGGGCCGTGGTGTGGAAGGCTCCAGCTGCGGCCTGAAGAATCCACAAATCTCGGCCATACCATTCACAAGTTTTGCAGTACGCGTGTTAGGATGATCCGAACTGGGGGTAGCTTGTCGCAAGACGTGTGTTGAATAGGGTGTCGGCAACTCGGCGAACTCGCGCCAAGGAGGAAAGATGTGCTGGGCTTGTTGTATAGACTTCTTCTTCACATGAAAAACATGGACTCACATGAACACATGAACGAACATGGACACATGGACACATGGACAGACATGGACTGCACGCACGCGTGCACGCACCACCATGAGGGGGCGACGCAGTATACAACAGGGGTACCTTGCACACCCTGGAAATACATTCCACGTACCACACAATCCTACAACCACTTGGCATTGCTACAAGTATATCTATCAGCCCCCCTGCTTGTGACCATGCCATGTCTTTTTCGATCCTCAAGAACTCCAAAACACAAGAAAATAAACTCAGAAAGTCAACTCAACTCCAGAACAATAGCCTCACTGGCTAGACATCAATTCCCATCCCCGGTCATATCAGATATACTTCTTCGAGCTTCAGTGAACTAATTGCCCCCCAGCCTAGAACACCATCCATTGAGAAAATCCATAGGCAAAAATGCAAAATGTTGCCGCCCTAGTTGTTTGATCACACACAAAATAAACCCAAACATCAAAATATTAATCCATACTCATTACGAAGTTACGATGAAACTCGAAATTTCCCACGTTAAGTGCCTTCGTGAGGAAGTCAGCATGTTGATACGCCGATTCCACGTGAAAAATCGAAATCTCCTTCCTGCATACCAAATCCCTGATAAAGTGGTGCCTTACGTCGATGTGCTTCGAGTTACTGTTGCTAATCGGGTTCTGCGCCAACTGAATAGCCCCGTGGTTATCCTCGAACACCGGAATACACGGCATATCGGCAACATGAAACGCCATACTTGCCTCAGAAACAACACTTCCTTCATCACATCCGCAAGGGAGACATACTCCGCCTCTGTCGTGCTTAACGTAACGTACTTCTGCGTCCTTGAAAACCAAGAAATACATCCCCCCTCACACATCACCAACCCTCCTGACACATACCTCCTATCGGCAGCCTTACTTGCATAGTCTGCGTCTGCGAACACCTCCATGCTCAACCCTGCTACACTACCCCTCCTGAATGAAATACCCAAGTCACTAGTCCTTACCACATACCCCAAAATACCAAGACCTGCTCTCCAATGAATTTCTTTGGAAGAAGCACACTACCGTGCTACCGCTCTCACTGCGTTCGCGATATCTGGCCTCGTTTGCGTTGCCAGCCGCATCAATGATCCTATCAGCTCACGAAAAGGCCTTGATACCACTTCTTCATCTTGGTCAAACTCTGAAAGCTTCAACCCTACAGGAAGAGGAATTTCCTTCCCGTGCTCTACCCCAAACTCCATCCCCAACTCTTCAGCGTACGTCTGCTTCGAGGTCTTCAAAGTCCCTGCATCCCAATTTTCCAAGAATAAAATCTCCTCTACCACCTGCTCCCTCAGGTTGTGATCGCTGTTCACAACCAAACATCCTGTGAAAACCTCGAAAATAAAATCCTACTCGTTCAGGCTCGACCTCTTACTCAAAAAGACCAAACACAAAGCCGAAGCACCACAAACCAAAGCCAAAACAATGAGAACACGAAATAAGAAAAGTCACACCATTGGTCACACGAAGTATTTTTGCCGGCCCATCAACCCCAGCGCTTTCATCCATCCCTCCTGCCACTGCTTCTTCCCCGCGGTAGCCACCCTCGCCTCTGCCGCGGCCACCCTTTTCTGCTGGCATGGCCGCGGCTCAGGCTTCATCAGGTGCCACGTATCCGCCTGGGTGGGGTGGGTGCAGCTGTCTCTCCGGGGGGATTGACTCGGCAGTGCAGGGGAGATTGCGCATCCGAAAGGGAAAGGCACAGGCAAACTCAGTCACCCAAAGCGTCAATTTAGCACGTGGCACTGCTGGGGAGAATACCTTGCAATACGCCCCCTATTCTGCGCAGCAGTGACCGTTGTCTTTCGCATTCTGTACGACATCATGGTTACCTATCAAATCGAACGCCAATCTACGACTGAGGTTAATTACTCCTCTTTCGTAAAAGTGACACAACGATTCTTGCGATTTGTCTGACAAGGTTAATTATTCCTCGGTCACGCAAACAACAATGTTGGATCCATGTTAGAGCTTACACAGCTGTGTTTCTGATCAACAACCCAACACATCTTCTTCTTACTGGTGTGCAACCACTGCGCTGCTTTCGTGCATACAGTGTTCTGGTACGAAATGGAGATCATTTCCATGTAGTCCTGTCGGTTACACAGACCCCTGACCAAATTTCCAAGTGTATCCCCCTACAACTCCTACCGCTGGACATGCAACAGACTCCTGTTCATAACACGCAACTCATTGTCGGTAGAGGGTGCAAAGATTCATGACGCCTTCGCATATCCCGTTATCGACGTGAACGCAAAAATAATGAGTCGGAGATCAATCTCTATATTTTAACACAAGAGGGGCAAAATATTCCCATCAACTTCAAAGCACTCAAGAAGGTATATGCAGCAGCTTGGTTAGGATTCGCTGACACTCTCATCTATTCTTTCCGTTTCTGTGGGTGACTGGCAACCTTACGTGGCGTAGTAGCCATACAACCTCGCAGTTTTGTGGGTGACTGGCAACCTTACGTGACGCAATATCCATTTAACCTCGCAGTTTTGTGTGGGTGACTGGCAACCTTGCGTGACGCAATATCAATTTAACCTCGCAGTTTTGTGTGGGTGACTGGCAACGTTACGTGACTCAATATCCATTTAACCTCGCAGTTTTGTGTGGATCACTGGCAACCTTATCAAGAATAGAACGCCCTTTGATGGGGTCTACTGCTGTACCTTTCAGGAAAAACATGTGCATGATGATGACGCGTATGTATGCAGAACTCAACAAGGTGTGCTGTAGGTTTATCGGAGCACACCCAAACGAAATCGACGAAGACAAGCATGCAAGCATATACCAAAACCACTTCAGACGTAAAACGGTGAGCAGATCATCACGTGCCTGAGCGGATCTACGACCTTAGTAGGCGCATGCTGATGGTGTTGCTGCTCGGCATCTCCAGTGTTACAACAACATTCGAAATTGGCTCTCAAAAACCTGTACTCCAACCTGGACATCGCCAATAATAGAATCAAACACACCCGTAAATGGGGCTACATGTATTACATACAGGACTGACACGGATGGTGTCCTTAGGGGGTAAGACTTCCCTGGTTTCTTCCCCCGGGGTGTTGGTCCTCCGCATTGCCCGCGCGAAGGACTCAACGAGACGGTCCTCCAACGATCGTGGCTGGTCTTCAGGTTGCGGGTCTAACGCTGTTCCAGCCGGCCGAGCATGCCGGGGATCGCCTCCATCGGGGGGCTTGTCCACGCTCTCTGATGCGGGACGCTTCTCTTCGGTAAACTTGATTTTTTCTTGTACTCCTCTCTCCACTTCCTCTTTGATGTGCGCCGATAATGCTTGGCGGTCCTCTTCAGTTAAGCTGCTGAGGTCGAGGGCTTCCATGATCTACTTCTCTAGCCGAACCCTTTTATAGCTAACCTCACCTCGGGATCCCGTGTGATATCACACGCTAGCGTGTTAGGATGATCCGAACTGGGGGTAGCTTGTCGCAAGACGTGTGTTGAATAGGGTGTCGGCAACTCGGCGAACTCGCGCCAAGGAGGAAAGATGTGCTGGGCTTGTTGTATAGACTTCTTCTTCACATGAAAAACATGGACTCACATGAACACATGAACGAACATGGACACATGGACACATGGACAGACATGGACTGCACGCACGCGTGCACGCACCACCATGAGGGGGCGACGCAGTATACAACAGGGGTACCTTGCACACCCTGGAAATACATTCCACGTACCACACAATCCTACAACCACTTGGCATTGCTACAAGTATATCTATCAACGCGCTAGCACAGACCCCACCCCCCGAACTGCTGGTCTACACCACCGAAGCAGCAGTGCAGCTCACGCCAAAGGGATACGTCGTTGAAGTTGAAAATTTGAAAACAAGTAGTACATGTCATAACTGTAATCGAGATCATGGGGGGATTCGACACTTTGAAAGCGTGCCTGTACAACGTGAGAATGGTCACACGCTACAATGCTCACCGCTCCAACGGCTCCAGCAGCTGCTGAATGTGCTGTCCCACTGATTCGCTCACGTCTTGTACCGTCATGGCTGCTTGGAACAAGGCGTCGACGGGCAAGTGCCCCAATCCAAGCCCTGCTCCAGGATTGGGACGCCTCTCCGCACCGGATGAACTTGAGCCGAGGTCAACGACGACTAGCGCCAGCAGGATTCGACAGTTGGAGCACCGCATGCTGTACCTCCAAGCCAGCAGTCACACACTTCACAAGGGTCTGCACCCTCGAGCATGCACGTAGCTGCTCTGTGCTGCGCAGTGCGCTGTACCACGTGGAGCAAGGTTCCCTAAATTACAGGAATCGATACAGGGGCCCCGACGTGTACATTTTTCGGGGACCCAGGACATGTTTCGCCGACCTGTTCGCGGAGCCCCCCTGCGAGGGAAACTGGCAAACTGGCATCAAAGGCTATGACATATAAGGCTATGTTCTTATATGTCATAGCCTTTGACTGGCATTTACTGTTTATTCCTTGCTTTCGAAAAAAAGGGTGGGTGGGTGGGAAAGAAATAGATCTCCTCCGAAATACCTCTTGGCTGCAGCAGCCTCCCTCGTGCTTCCTTGGGGCAGACCAACAAGTGCCCCCAAGTCTACCCTTCCTTCTAGTAGTCAGGTTTCAGACACTTTTTTCACGCTGACTCAATGCTGCTGCTCTCTGATTGGCCAACAGATATTTCATCTTCCGCTCCTCATAAACTCAGATTTCAACGCCTCTGTCTCTGCAATCTTCATTCTGCTTGTAGATATATGCACTTCTTCTGTTTTACTGCTGCTGCTGTGTACGTAGTAGTATGTACCGTTCGAATGCAAGACACAACGATTGATTCCATCTCTATCCATCCATAGAAACGAGTCTACGATGATAATAATAGCATAAATTGGCAATGAAGTCATAACGTCAGCGGAAACTGTATTTCTTATTTGTTTTTGTTGCGGCGTTGCCTGGCTGTGGCAGGCTGATGCCATCGGTCGGTGTTTTTAAACGTACGTATGGCTACCGATACACACAACATGCCTGGTGTCGGATATACAGTAGTAGACTTTACCCATCCTGACACGCACGGTCGGCTATATGCCCGCCAGCGAACAACTTCGGCACCCATTTGAATGATACTCAACACTCGATCCCCCAAACGTCGACGACACAGCCAGGAAATCCCATAGCATCATGGCACCAAAAATGAACTTCTTCTTCACTGACTGGAAGACAGACGAGTTCCGGGGTGTACGATACCGACAACACGCCGGCCGACGAATTAGAAAATCATTTTCTACCTGGTTTTCGGACTCATGAAAACTGGGCGCGCATGCACCGAGTGCCCAAGGATTTGCCGCATGCCGCGTGTGAAACATGCAAGCAAGTTGACAGTCCACTTTTTTTTTTTTCTTAGTATGACACAACGAATCCATCTCTACTCTATCATAGAAAAAAGTCGGAGACAGATTAGCAATGAATTCATAGCGTCAGAAAAAGCTACTTGTAGTCTACGATTTCTCAGACAGGATATAGGGACATTTTATCTCCCCTCTGCGGGTAACAGGCTCAACAAAACAGTTTTTTGGTAGCTGTCTTGTGTGTCTCATATATGTTATGTTGGGAAGGTGTTGTAGCAGAAAGAAAGGTAGGTGTTGGGTACTGTTGGGTAGTCGGGCATTTTGTGTGTGGCACCCTGTTAGTCGTAGGGCATGCAATCTCCCTCAGCTTTCAAACGTATTTTCAGTGTGGCACGCATATGTACGGAGTATGAATATATATGTATGTGCCGACACATTTCGGAGTATGTATGTGCGGACACACGGGACGGAGTGGTCTCACCGTTTTCTTACCGTTTTGAGTAGTTTGTTAGTGCACTGCCGCCCTCAGCGGTCTGTGGTGTTGAGACTGGGGACTATGTTATCCCAGGAACAGCTGATAAAAAAGGACCTTGTATCGTATATATTCGTCACGCAAGCCCCCAGGCAAGTGAGCTCGTGGGCTCTTTCTCTCTCCAGCACCAGGGGTCTTCTCCTACCCCCAATACACTTCATACCCATTCACGTACCCCCCATCAGGCGCATACAACGCATGCATGTAGATCGGACACACATCCAAAGCACCACAAACAGCCCCCCTACTTGATATGCCGTACGATCTCCCAACCAATACAAAAAACGCAAATAACCACTTGAGAAACATCCTCTACAAAAACTGATCACGCATTTAACACAAAGCGTCTCCATCAGTTTATTCACGAATCCAATGCACTCGTCCCTAGAAATAATCTCAAACCATTGACACAAAAGAATCATCCTCGGAAAAAACACCCAACAATTATTCGTGTTACATCAGAAAAAAACGTTGGAACGAAACAAACATTTTCTGGAAATACAGCTTCAAGAAGAGCGTTGAATACCAAATCCTAAAACAAAACAAAAACTCAACTTCTTGACCAATCAAAACGAGAATTCGGAAAGCACATTGGCCCCAACCATTAATCGTCAAAATACGTCAAACCCCTCCTCCAAGATAATGTCTAAGGACCAATCCCTAAACAGCGCGCAACCGCAAATCGATGCCATCGCTGTTGTTGTCCAAGAAACGATAGAAAACAAAGCAAAAAGCATCCATCCATGCATGCATACAGCCCCCCTGCTGTGACATCCCAAGAAACTATCCTCCCAACGTTCTATCTCCACGTGAACAGCCCCCCTGCTGAGACATGTCCAAAAACATAGATAGGAGAAACAACAAAAATATCAATTGATGTGCATGCACTCTGTAATCATAGTCATACATGACATTCCCCCCCATGATTGCAGATGCAGAGACAGCAAGAAGAGACAAACGCAGAAAAAAAAAAAGAAATGCTATCGACTAACAAAGGAACGTTACTTGATGTTCATCACAAAATCACGGTGAAAGCAGAATGCTGCCCTGTGTAGTGGTTTGGTCATAAAATCGGCGTGCCGCAAAGCAGACGCAACGTGAACCACCTTAAACTGCTTGCGTGCTACACGCTCCCGAATGAAATGGTGACGGATGTCTATGTGCTTAGAGTTGGGGGTGGTGACCGGGTTATTGGCCAAGTGAAGGGCCCCCATGTTATCCTCGTGAACTCTAGTGCACCCGATGCGCTCATCTGGAAAGATAAAAGTCCAGAGATAGCGCAAGAAAATCGCTTCCTTGAAACCGTCGCCCATCGCAACATACTCGGCTTCAGTCGAAGAAAGTGTAACACTCTTCTGCGTTCGTGACAAAAACGAGACACAGGCACCCGCACACATCACAACCGCACCAGAAACCGACCGCCGGTCCGTCGCGTTGCTCGCGTAATCGGAGTCCACGAAGAGTTCCAACGAGACACCGCCCTCCGTCCCTCGCTGATACGTGATACCAAGACCGACCGTGAACCTGACATACATGAGAACATGCAAAGCTGCACGCCAATGCACCATCTTGGGGGCGTGGGCATACCTCGCCACAGCTCGCACTGCGTTGAGGATGTCCGGGCGAGTCTGATTCGCCAGCCACATCAAGTGTCCTACCAAAGACCGAAAAGGCTCAAGAACATCAGGCTCTGCATCGTCAAAATCCTCAAGCTTCAAGCCTACTACCATGGGAGTCTACTTGTTGCGTGTGACACCGAACTTCTCAACTAAGTTCCTCGCAAACGTCTCCTGCGACAACGTAATCGTGCCACCCGCGCGGTCACGAGAAAACCGAATACCCGCGTACAAACTCAGCTCTCCAAGGTTCTTGATCGGGTCGAAAGCGTTCAAGTCTCTGCCAAACTGATGACACCTACGCTTGTTCCCGATCGAGAAAATGTCGTCGACGTGCACCACAACTACGATTGTCACAACACCGTTCTCGATCAGACGCATGACACAAGCATCAGCAGCACACTGCTCAAACCCAAGGCGCTTCATTGCTCGGAGCAAATGGTAATGCCACATGCGGGACGCTTGTTTCAAACCATACAGGCTACGGGCAAGCTTGACAACTTTCCCTGAGAGAGAGCCACAACCTTTCGGCAAACGAATGTACACATCCTCGTCCAGCTTGGATTGAACGAACGCCTGCTCAGCATCAAGGTGCACAAAATCCCAACCAAGATGACAAGCAATTGCGGCAAGAACGCGAATACTAGTAACAGACGGGCACGGCGAAAAAGTCTCAAATAATCAACCCCTTCCCGCTGACTAAAACCTCTTGCTACCAGCCTGGCCTTTGCACGCGTCACATCACCGAACTCGTTGGACTTCCAAAGGTACACCCATTTGGCAGAAATGATGTTCGTCCCTGGCTGCTACGAGCCTGCCGCTGGCGAAAAAGTCTCCGCCTCGAGAAGTCCGGTGAACTCCGCATCCTCAGCGCTGTACCAGATGTCGCTGTCTTCGCCTGAGTGCGCCTCCGCCCACGTCGTCGGTGTCACGCGCTCGCTTGCAGGCCCATCCGGCAGCTCCGGACCCCCAAAGCACCGCTCATCGTCCATCCGCGCGTCGAAGTCTTCCGCCATTGCAAGCATCGCCAACACCCCTGGGGACCGCGGCAGAGGCCCACCTTTAGCCAGGCGCCGCGCCGAGGCCCTCGTGACGGAAGGGGTAACCTGATGGCGCTGCTGATGAGGCTGCATGTG